CCATAATGTTGGAAGAAAGAATCCCTACCTATCTACCCAGAATGACGGAAAGCGAAAACCTAACCTGCAACGAAATGCGTGCAAAAACCATCTGCCCGCCACCAGCAGCTTGGAGAAGGCAGCTGACTAAAACAAGTCACGCACCGTATAGTATATTACGAATGGCCAGTCGAAAACATTGGGTCACAATCCAATTCAAACCCCTTCACTGAATTCTGGGGATCGTCACTCAGCGATCTCACATCAACAGCTACACGCTTTAGTTTCTCACGCTCCATTAAAATGGACGGTCAGTATTCGCACAACGGAATTGGATTTTTGAAAACTATGACGTGACCGATTAAAGCAATGCGGAAATTCAGCTCGGCGTACCAGTCCGTACTTTTGAGCCCTATTCAGGCATCCTGGGGTCTCTGCGATGCGTTGAAATTGTTCCATCAGACTTTTCTGCCGTAGGAATGATTGACCCGTGGACAGTGCAATTTTGAGCTGCGAAAATGTGAAGGTAGATTGAGATGGTATTTAGTTCGAGTACATATGCAACAAAATGCAATATTTCGGCGAAAAACGTTCTACCCTACTCTAGATGGTTTTGCAGATTAGTGTATTGGCCGCTGGCTATTTGCACACCCAAATTACTTTCGCCGAAACTTCGGAGTTTTTTAAGCCGCCACTTTAACGCGGGGTTACTCTAATCTATTTAACCTTCCAGTACAATATTACACATAGCGTTTTGTTTAGGTGAACGAAATTTGAAGGTCACATGCCATCACCGATTTGCATTTTCTTACAGGTTTGCTCGACGTAAAACACAAAATTGCACTTTGGCATTTCTCTGGCGTTCTTCGGGAACCTTAGGAATAAAAAGCATCTGAGGAATATCTGTTACAAATTTCACAAATTTTACACTCCTCAGACTTATTAAATGCTATTATAATCGCAAAATATATTTCGTTCGGTGAACCTGGCCACAGCGCATTTTCCCGTGGATCTCAAGTTCCATTAAGTGCGACATTGTTGGACAACAGCATGAGCTATGCAGTAACAATGCTAGGGACATTTCTGTTGAGTAAGTGCAACATTGTTAGACAACAGCATGAGCTGTGCAGTATCAATGCCAGGGACGTTTCTGTTGAGGATCCCCGTTCCGAGATATGCATAACTATCCTGTAGATAAGACCGCGTCACGAGATGGCTTAAGGTGTCACTCCTGTTACGAATGTGACGCTCTGTAGGTGGCGACCGCCATATAGCTGTCGTCATGATACCGGTGTAACTGTAATGCTACTGATTGGGGCATGCGAGTAGTATGATTTCTTCTTGTGAATTCGCTTTGCGCTTCTTGAAAAGGGAGATCTATTGCGGAATTTGCGGAGTCGCTTTGTAGAATAAGCTTGGATTTGTGTAACAGTCCATGAACATCCAGGAAAGTTGGGGAATATGCCTCCAAGAGAAGGTGGATGCTCAGTCTCTGTAAATAAGATGCATATGAGAGTTTTGCTTCGCTGTCCGATAGTCTGTAACTGGTCATTTGGCATCTTCTAATAACTAACTTCGCAACGAGGGCCTTCTTCTTTTCATCTGATGCCGTGACCATGATAAGGGGGGATGTTCAGGCTTTCCTGGAGGACTTCGAGGAGGTTGCTGAGGCTGGATAACGACCGGGGAGAATTAGCGGTGCTGAAGGCCCTCCTCAGGGGCCGGGTGAAGGCAGCCCTGGACGTGGCCAGAAGAGGTCCTTGGAGGGTGAACTTGACCGCCACGAAGGAAGTCCTTGCTGCGGAGGTCGACACACCGGCCGACTGCCAGGAGTTCATGAGGCGGTTCAAGACGGCCAGGATGGCACTTGGTTCTGACCCGACTGTGCTCTTCGCCGGCTTGCAGCAGTCGTTGGATCGCGCTCTGCCGGGACTGAACTGAGTGTCGCGCCACCAGTTGCTGTCCGACCAGTTAATCGAGGGAGTGCAGCCGATGCTTGGTGCCCAGTTTCGGTTAGCGAGAACGACACGCCAGTTGCGTGTACAAGGGCTGGTGCATCTGGCACGGGAATCGGACGCGACACTAATGGTCAAGTTCCGGTCGCAGGAGAGCAAGGATGGTTCAACAGTGCCATGGAAGGAGAATAACTTGGCTGGTTGGCCGTCATAGCTGAAGATGATGGATCATGATTAAGACTAAGTGCCTCGTCGTCGAACCGGATCCCGGATGGTGGTGCAACTTTAACGGCAGGATCCCGTGGTACGAAGGGTTGTAGCGGCCTTTTTGGGTGGAGGGAGCGTTGAGAACGGAGAGAGAGACAAGGAATTGGGAACATTCCAGAGTCGCTTTGTTCGGCTGAGACTGAATGGTGCTGGCATAATTTCCTGGAAAGCCACTGATTAGGATGTTGTGCTGCCAGTGATACCTCGCGTCCTGAGACAGAAGCTTATCGTCGAATTCTATGAGATGGCACATGTAGGGTGCACCAAGATATACGACTTACTTCGGCAGAGGGCTTACTGGTCCGGGATGAGAAGTGAGGTGATGGATTATGTGGTGTCCTGTAAGCGGTGCCAACTGATGAAAGGGGACAATACAGGGGCAACCCATCCCATGGAACCTATTCCTGTCTCACAAATCGGCGAGTTGTGGTTTCTTGACATCATGGGCCCTTTCCGGTGACACCCGCGGGACTCACTACATCGTGATGTGACGGAACAACTGGCGCGGTGAATTGAGGCGGCAGCCGCGCCTAATCAGCGAGCGACGATGATCGGCGGAGTGGTATTGCGTCACATCGTGGCCAACCATAGGTTGCCAAAATGATCCTAACCGATCAGGGGCCTTGCTTCGCTAGCGAAGAGTTTGTGGATTCCTTGCAGAAGCTTTTTATCAGGCGGCTAAGGACGGCAGCATACCACCCGCAAACCAATGGCCCTACCAAATGTAATAACCGAACGATTACGAAGTGGCTGGCGGCCAGAAGAGGTGACGGAAGCGAACTTGCCAATGATGTTGCTAGCTCATCGTGCTTCTATACAGACAATCACAAGCAATTCATCGTTCATGCTGATGCACGGTTGACATCCACGCCTACCGGCTGATCAGGAATATGGGTTGTGGCCGTCAACACGCTGGCCTCCGGAGGAGCTAGAGGAAGAAAAAGGAGAGCTAAAGAACAGTTGCCTGCCGTTCAGTAACAGACTAAGCAGAAAACGGTAAGAAGGAAGCAGGAACATTCTCCATAGGCAAGGAGGTCAAGTTGAAGGATCACCGGAATCCTGGGAGGAGTGGACCTTGGTCGAGGAAGCTAGGCAGACGATGGTAATAGCCGTTTGTCTTTGCCGACCGCCGGAGGAATGTCTATACAATTCAAGATGGTCGGAGATCGAAAACACTGAATGGTATGCAGCTCCGGAAGTGGCAGGATACACTCGAAGAGTGGTCAAGTAGACCCACTGCCGAAGCCGACCTGACGGAGGTAACTAAAGTCGATGGCATACGTCGTACCGATGGACGCGCGCGCCCTGGCTTATGCCTGCTACCAATAGCAAACACCACGCCAGTGTCGGCTACTGATCAGATCGCCGTTGATCTGTTCGCAGAGCTTGGCGATTGGCTCGCAAACGTTTCGTCACCATACGAGGAGACATCATCAGTGCGCAGTTGGGTGTGTGTGTTTATATAGAAGTCAGAGGGTATCTGTTATTTTCTGATGTGATTGGCTACCTGAAGTGTAACGAGTTTAGTGAATCTATTGGTCCGTTTGTGATCTTTGTTGCGTTGTGTTCCGTGTTCGTTTGTGTTGATTGGTAATCCCAACGGCTTCTAAGTTTAGCAGCTTGTTCCCTCCGGCCTTGATTCGCATTGCGTTGTGGTCTGCCGTCCTCGATTTTGATTGGTTGCTTGTTCTGTGGTTCTGGCGTTCTCTCGCTCTTAGTGGCTGGTAAATGGGATCAATTTCGGTGTGTTTGTTGATGGCTTCTTCGGTGGAGTACGACGCCTCCATAAATTCGCGTTCTCGTTTAGTTCTTGCTTGAGCCAATATGCGAGCGTCTTTTCAACACGGGCACGCCAACGGGATCACAAAATTTAGAGGTGCAAAAGCGACCATACGAGGAACTCATACAAGTAGCAGGAAAGCGTCATTCAAACGGACACATCAATCGGATTAGAGGAGGCGACCAATCAAAGCTCTAAATCAGTCGGCGGACGCAGGGACACTAACCGCCACGGTGGAGGAAATAGAGCGGTACAAGCAACCAATCAAACTCGAGAACGGCAGACCACAACGCAATGCGAATCAAGGCCGGAGGGAACAAGCTGCTGAACTTAGAAGCCGTTGGGATTACCAATCAACACAAACGAACACGGAACACAACGCAACAAAGATCACAAACGGACCAATAGATTCACTAAACTCGTTACACTTCAGGTAGCCAATCACATCAGAAAATAACAGATACCCTCTGACTTCTATATAAACACACGCAGGCAAGGAAGAAGTATCCACCCAACTGCGCACTGATGATGTCTCCTCGTATGGTGACGAAACGTTTGCAAGCCAATTGCCAAGCTCGGCGAACAGATCAACAACCAATAAACTCACCCGAGCTACCACTATTTCACCACATTACCAACCAGTCCACTATCTATGCCAGCCGATAATAAACAGGCGCTGTAGGCGTTTCAAATTAGCAAACGCATCCCAAGCTTTGTAGGCTCGAGCATTGATCATCTCTTCCACCCCAGAATCCAAACTAATACAACTTCAAATCTTTATAAAACGCTGCACCAACCTACTCATCCAACCGGATCCGAAAAATATCTTATATAAGCTTTGTTCTACCTCTGAGGATTTCCTCGGCCAACAAAATATGTCCTCCTCTCTACAGTATTGCGGATGCAAGCCAAATCATCCCAAAACTGACGTCCGTTACGGGGCTGTCCAGAAACCGAAATAATTCAGTGGGATAATGGCATGGCTCTGCTATACCCGGTTCAATGGCACACCCGCCACTATGCCCTTCTTTCTCTTGACTTTACCCTGTCATCCTTGTGTTCCGTCACCTGCAACTATGGACATACGTTTTATTCTGGCTGTAATCTTCTGATCA